GGCTCAATCCAATGTACTGATTAACGTGTTCTTTTTCTATTTTAATGGCGTTATGCATTTGAATTTTTGCCTCATGGTCAAACAATCAACCATAACTTTTGAAACCAATGCGTGAAAAAATTCTTAAATAGAGACACAGGTTGTGGTAATACAACTGCTTCACCTCTACAGCACGCCAGCTCACAAAGCTTTGACAATTCGTCTTGTTCTCCCTCGACCTTCCAACTCACCGGGCCTAGCACCTTTTCTTGTTTCCCAAATGGAAATCAGTAGAAACAACGCTGGAAAAAGTGTATGAACAGAGGAATAATTTGAGAGTGAAAGGAAGAATAATGTGTAAATTAAAAAATGGCGTCAAGTAGGTTGACTTTCCACTTCTCACGCAGCGTCGTTATCAGAGCATAGGAAACACTACGCGGCCGGTAGGTACGAGATCCAGATGCCGAGAATACTTTTCTAAGTTTAAGGGCAAATCTATGATTTGTGAAATATGTCTAATAGGTCTGTAGCATTACCAAGGTTCAGAGCGTATAAATTTACTAACGTCAAAAAATTGAGATAAACCCCCCTGCTATCCTCTCCACCATTTTTTACCTCCAAAGTTTTTTCAAAAATGATCAGGTCCTCTAAAACGTCCTAAAACCAGGTTGGAGCGATTTTTACTTGCTTCATTTTAGGCCTTTTTGTCTTCCGCCGTTTTTACGCCTTCGCAATGTAGCATCATTTTTTAGAAATTCCATCGAAGTTCGAGTGGTTCTTCGCAAGTTATAGGCGGTTTTAAAACTAGCGGACAGACCGTCAGACAGACAGACCGACTGAGCTCAGCGATATGGTGTTTCGTGATGTACATGTCATATAACATCTAAATAACATACTTATTTTCGAAAAGTTTCGCGATTACAATACTTTCCCGCCTGTAGGCGAGGGAAGAAAAATGGAAAAAATGTTAAACTATTTTTCGCGACTACCTTCTCTTATTTGCTTTCAAATATTCTCCCCTTGCCAGTCATGTGACGTCTTAAATAGTTCCAATTGGAAGTATGAATTAATGTCTTGTTGGAGCTTAGTTAATTTTTAACAAAGATCTCAAAATCGCTCGTTTTATGCCCCACCATGTGTTTTAAGGACTGTTTGAACAAAGAGATATACCTAAATTCGATTGTGTTCTGAACTGCTATTTACTGATACCAGCGGAAATTCTTCCGAAGTATCCTGAAAAAGTTCCATAGTGTGCACCAGTTGAGGCTTTTGTGTTCCTTTTATTATCAGTTTTCTTTACATGTGTATCAAAACGGTGGAAAAAACACCGTCATCCTAAAAACGTTTTTTCGTGAATGATGGAAACCTATAGAAGGAATAATAGGAAGAAATTTGGGTAAAGAAATATGTATTACGGGGGGTACTAGAAAAGAATTCTACCTCGCCATAAAACAAAAGGCGTACGATTTTTTTTTGATAATTTTCTTTTTCAATATAATCCACCCTACATCAATGCACTTGCGCCATTTCCCTTCCAGCGTACTTATGAGGGGGTATCCAAAAAAAACCGGAATTATTTTTTAAAAGCTATTTGTTTTCAACTTTTTCACAAAGTAACTCTATCCTTCAAAATACTAATACACTTGTCCCACCGCTGCTTCCACTGCTCGAAACAGTTTTTGAAGTCTTCCTTAGAAATGTCTGACAGCTCCTCGCTCGTTTTTTTCTTGACCTCTTCAATGTCGTCAAAGCGGCGTCCTGTCATGCCCCTTTTCGTCCGTGGAAATAAGAAAAAGTCGCACGGAGCTAGATCAGGCGAATAAGATGCGTGACGCAACATAACCATGCCATTTTTAGCTAGAAACTGTCGAACAGAGATGGCTGTGTGCGCAGGTGAATTATCGTGGTGGAAGAACCAGTCTCCTGACTACCACAGATCCCGTCTTAAAACCTCTAAATAGCACAAGCCCTCGAATTTTTTTCGATTCGGGCAGTTGATGGACGTCCAGAGGGAGGTTTGTCATCAATCGACATGTCGCCATTTTTAAATCGAGCAAACCACTCGTACACCTGAGTTTTTCCCATAGCATCATCTTTGTAAGCTATTTTCAACATTAAAACAGTTTCAGCAGCATGTTTACCAATTAGAAAGCAAAATTTCACAGCTGCACGTTGCTCACTGAAGCTTGCCATTGTAAAAAACAAAACAATCACGAAACAGCTCTAGCAAAAGTAATGACTACAGAGGAACGAAACAAGCCAGATCGACAACTCAGGTGGCACAGGACTGTTAATGAGTTGCGCTGTACGCCTCTGGGGGCAGAAATGTGTACTCCACAAGCTCCGTCCACTGCAATGCTATTTCGGTTATTTTTGGGTACCTCCTCGTATACCTTATAAAAAATATTGTCGTTGACGGCTGTTTTTAGGTCATCATCAGAGGCAAAACAGGGTCCTCGAAGATTTTTCTTTAGTAATCTAAAGAGGTAAAAGTCAGACGGAGCCAAATTCGTACTAAGGAGGATGGTCTATTTCAACGAAACTGCATTCCTGCACAATTCCTCTGATTTTGCAGCATTATGCACGGTCGCATTGTCGTGCAGCAAAAACACTCCTCGATTGGAAAAGTCGGGTCTTTTGTGGTGGATTGCTTTACGCAAATTTTTCAGTGTGCATTTATTGTCGTTCCTTTTGGCATATATGAGCCCTAACTCAAAAATGTTCGATCATTATCTAATTTTATCTAAAATTTTATTTTAAAAATTAATTGTTTTTTATAAGACATTGAAATATATTGTTTGCACATCGTATTAACAAAACTGTTTTCAAGTAATATTATATTGAAATATAAAAACAAACTAATATTGATAACAACATTTTGCTGACATATAAATGTTCGGACACGATATTTAAAAGAAAATGATAGCACGCCATGGAAACAAAAAAGTGTTTACAATTTGACGTTTTGATTTAAGAATCAATTCTGTGAATCAATTTGCTTTAAGATGTCGCGTGGTAAAGCAACAAACGGTACAATCAGAGTTTTAATCATAAAATTGTTTCGTTAAGGAAAGAATTGTATGATTAAACAAATAAATGTCGCAAAGTCTACGGTGGCAGATATTGTAAAAAGGTATGGAGACATAGGTTCAACTCAAGTTCCAAGACACGGTGTTGGTAGGCCACCTGAGATCCATCCTAGAATGCAAAGATATCTTGTTCGTATTTGTAAAACTGGTGGTCCAGGTTCTGTAAGGGAGATAACACCAATGTGGAATGAAGAACAACAGGATATGTTTCACGAGAAACGTGCCGTCGCTGGATTCATAAGTCTGGTTTACATTTCTAAAAGGTACGTAAGTTGCATTTAAGGCACATATGGCATGTTTATTCAGTAAAATCTTTGATTTGGGCAAAAGAAAAACCGTTGCTTATGCCAATGGCCGTTGTCAATACCCAATACGGCTCTGTAGGTCTCATAACAGCCTCAAGAATATGGAGGCGTCACACGTCTGTAGATGTTTGACTCTAAGTTACCTTTAACTTTATCTCTCAACTGTTGATATACATATCTCATATGGCTAGTTTTGACTTATTACAATTATTATCGTGATTATAAGGGTACCATGGTTAGAACATACACATGACATGCAGTACAGCAAAATAATAAAAGATACTCAGTCAAAACCCTCACCGTTTGATTGAACCTTAACCTGAACTTGATATGCGCACTATTCACAAAATCACAACACACAGACACTTCGACCTTTCAACTGTTAGAACAACATTCGAATGAACTAAGAGGGCCTGTGCCTCAGCGTGCCCTTGGTTTCACGAATACGCAGGGTCGTAAGTGGTTGTTGAAATGTGTGTGCCAGCAGTGCCTTTCTTAGCATTCCAAGTTTCAACCAAACCTTTTACAGGGTGACTCATATGCAGAAAAGTATTTAAAATATTCTGTATGCTTACACTCGTAGGAAAATGTTAACGCTAGTTTGACGCAATTCATCCACATTTAGAATACATCCCAAAATGGTCAGCAGCCTGAGAAAGCTAAAAAATCCTTTCTGGCTATGAAATAGTGAAAACATGAAAAGCACAATGTAGGTACACAACACCATTATCAAAGAATTGTGCGCCTATAGCCCTGTTCGTACAGCTGTCACCAACCTATCAGTGAACGTGTCCAAGATCCCGCCACACAAATACCGTTCATTCTGCTACGCTATTTAGACAGAATTCACATAGCCAGATCCCAGACACAGTCGGTAACAAGTCACCGACCACTGTACGAACAAACCATAAATCGATTACCTGACAGCTTATAGCTTTGCAGTCAACTCATATTTTTTAACCTTTTTAACGCCATTCCTAGCATAAAAATATCGTTTTCCCTCGGAATATCTAGGTAACGTGTTTTGAACGAAACTGTTTGAATTGCAGATTAGCAGTTTTTTTCATCCGTATAACGTATTCGGGAGCAGGACAAAGATTGGTTTTTATAGGAGCAAAAAGTAGCACACTGAATACCGCTACTTTTTGTTATGTGATCTTATCTTTCAACTGGAAAGAGGCTTCTGAATTTTTGATTGCAAAATTGAAGCACGTATGGGCAAAGGAATATATGGAAGGTGTAAGAGCAAGTTAGACCGAAATGGCGTTGGCATGATGAACATTACTACAACCTTGATGTGTATTTTTTCAAAAAAACTTCTTAAAAAATTGTTTTTACATGCAAATAATTTGGAACTGTCTCTGCATATTAGCTACAGCACCAAGACTGAAACCAGTTCATTATATGTTCTCATTTATTTTACATCCTATGCCAAGGGCGACAGGACAAGGCAAATATTTTTCATTCAATGCTGTCAACAATACTTTTCGAGTATCCCTGGTAATACAGTCAGCTCGTCACAAGCGTTCATTCTTCTATTCATCTCTGGGCCTGGGCTTTTGGTGCAACCAGCTCCTAATACGTGAATTGGCGGGAAACTACATTCCTTTAGGTTATGAGTGCTTACCTGTGTGCACAATTTTCCTCACTCACTTAACACTGGAAGAACGACTTCTCGTTTAGCATTATTTTAAGTTATATAAACTACTATTTAAAAGGGCGGTTCTAAGAGAAGTACACATAATTAGAAATTAGTACAGTTCATAAAATGTAAACAGAAAACTTGTAAGTCTTGTATACCGGCTCAGATTATGTACCGGCGATTCCGGTGACAGTATGTTTTACAACGTTGCCGCGCATTCGAATGAAATTTTCCTGATAGTTACTGGCTCACTGTTCATATTTTGGGATATCAAACCGAGTGCTGTAAACACTTACGATTTCCAACTTAAGCGAATATGACACAATCAGTATTCACTGTGATCCGTCAGTATTTATCAGGGAATGTGATATTGACCGTATAACCAGGTTGTCAGTAAATACTGATGGTATGGACCACAGTAAGTAGATATGATTGTCTTTTTAGAGTGATTTTTCAGAAGTATCCATTACGTTAAACGTGACAGCAAAAAACAGCTAATTATCTAGTAATATTTCCAAAACCCTATGTCGACAAGTGACACATAATGATATAATTCTGGCGCTTATGACAACGCTAGATCCCTAGGCAGAGTCGTATTTTGTTGTGGTCATTTGTACGGATCCATACTTCCTAACAAGGCTTATATTTGGAAAAGTTCCCTCTCCTACAAAAAAACGCTACAATCTAAATGGATGCTAATGATCATGAATATAGGTATTTCAAGTCAAGTAGGAATAAAACAAGGTAAATAGCTTTTAACTATGTTTGATATACACTGAAAACCAAATACCATTGACGTCGTAATGAGTAAGAGAGAGAAGCGCGAAAATCGTGCAATACGTGTATTAGAAACAGATAGCGATCTGAGTACGAGATCACGGAAGCCATCGGTGCACTCTTTCTAACATATATATCGCACGCTTATCGCGCTTCTCTCTCGTACACATTACGACGTCAGCCTAGTTTGAACACGGAGTTTTACCCGATTCACACCAGATCCGTTATTGCCAACATATGTTAAGATACTTTAATACAAAGAAGTCACTTGCGTATCAGCTGCTTACCTCAGTAGACGTCAAAATTACCCATAAACAAACATGTGTCCAGAATAAAATAAGTAAATGATAAAGTAAAGACGGGTTGGTTCACGTCGTGCGCTTTTTTTATTTGAATTATCTTGACGTCAATTACGTCGGTATGTATCGGCAGGTCGACATATTTAAGTTCTATAAATACTTGGAGGTGGATCAGAGACATATTTGGAAGTGACTGGAAAAGGGTCTCATAAAGATTCCCTTGGTATTATCAGTATAGAAATGAAAAAAATTGTATTCTACAAAAGGAGGATAAACACCAAAATTTATAGATCAGCGCCTTTGCCTGCCGCAGCCTCCCCTCGCCATTGGCCACTAGGCAGTAACATCAGGAGCATATCCAGTTGAGGCGGGCGGTGTCCTGGGTATCCGGGCCCTCCCCATCCACAGCCGAAATATCTGCGCTTTAAAAGATGTCGAAGGTGTTTCTCAATTTCCAGACGACCCAATTCTCTCAAATTTGTTTTTTCCTCCCAGGGAATGGACACATTTATGAATATGAATCATAAGCCCCCCCCAGCATTTTTTTTCATATTTATCGTATAGACCTCCAAAAATGTTTTCTAGATCCTCCCCTAGGCAGTATTCCAGTATTTCGTTGCTTGTAGTTGTATTATACCTGAAAAATGTAGGTTATCCGCAACATACGCGCACTAGCTAAATGCAAATATGTATGTAAATGCACCTATAGTAAAATACCAAAATTGATGACAGTAGCGAAACTCATCGTACATCACTGCTATTACGCGGAGGCCTTGGAAAATGCGGCGCTTCTTTGTGAAATGTCGCTAAACGTCGCTGTAATCACAAGGTACAGGGTCAAAGCAGTGGCACACGATGACTTCTGCTACTGTCATCAATTCTGGTATTTGACTATAGCTTGAGTACGAACAACCAACTGCTGGAAATATGTCGTGTCGGAAAGCTACGACAATTACTTTTTGAATTGGAATAAATATGACAATAACTTTTGTTGTAATAAAGTTAAATAGGTTCTAAATTAGCAGTTTTCATGATGATGACAAAATGCGTGATACATAATATGTATCTATATGTATATATTTTACGTGTATATGGCAGATTCACATTAATAGATGTACATCTGGCAACACCGAGTTCGACTTTCAACGATCAGCAGTACAGGAGACTGCTCGTGCTTATACAATGAGTATTTTATTATTCTAGTCGCCAGCAGATGGTAGCAGTATGCTCAAAAATCAAATTTAATAGGAAATAGATAAGTTTGGACCGCAGATTTGGATATTGATTGATACTGGGTAAATTTGAAAATCTTATTTTCAATTCAGAAGAAGTTCGCTTTTCTTTGTGTCGTTATTAGCCATGCATACACCCAATTTTTTTCAGGGGGGCGATGATCGACGAACTTTTACGAAAAGTTTTTTTTCATACCGAAGCAGCCGCGCAGGCAGAAAGCTAAATGTCGGGACACCGAGGCTGCTATGAGGATCCCAAAGAAATTTTGTTAATACGATTTTTGAACTGAAAGGTTAGTAGAACCGCTTCCTCTTGTAGATTGTTCTACAATCTTGACACCCTCGGGACAAAAGAGCGGTCGTGTCGGTCAGTTTTCTGGATGTACGAAGCTCGACGACACGGTTAGGATGGGAGGCCAAAGTTAGGTCTGTCTGTCTGGCAGGCACATGGCGCGGCGACATCATGTAAAGAGACCTCTGAGGAGCAAAACCCGTTGGTGTAGCGGTAGAAGAGAGCTAAATCGCCGAAGACTCGCCGGTGCAAAAGGGTCCCGAGACTGTCTGTTAGAGAAGAGTCATAGATCAGTCGGACAGCCCATGTAGTCAGGGCAAACGTGCGAGCAATACCCCCTCCCACTCAGCATGTCCGTAATGCTAAATTTTACGACATGGGCGAATTTCTGCTGCCACAGCGAGTTCTGACCAAAACCTAACCTCCACAGCACCGTGGCCTGAGTTACCCAGTGGGATCGGGCATCAGTGCTGTAAGGGACAGGGTGCGTGGTCAGAAAGAGATCCAGCAGGTTGCTGGCATGTGACGAGACGCGGGCGAAAAGTAGGGCTCGTCACCAGCAGGGAGAGCCCTTGAGAAAGAACGAACGCTTCAACTGCACGACCTGCTGCATCGGTCTTGTTTGAGTCCACCCAAACCTCATTATGGGCATTGAAGTCACCGAGGAGAACAACCTCTGAAGCGGGGTGATTGGTGTTCAGGAAGTCGATCTTGACGGCGAGGTATTCAAGTAGGTCATCATAGTTATGGTTCGAGGGAAAGCGATAAAGGGAGCAGATAAATTTGGGGGATGTTTTATAGATGAGGCGAAGCCTCACAGTGTCCTTCCGGTCTGATTTCAAAGAAACGTCCCGGACGATTGGATTGCAAGTAGTGATGAACAGCATTAATGTTGCTGTTAATTCCGCAGATGTTCGTGAAACAAATTTTATCTTCGGTGTGGTTCCCTCGAGTACCCTTCACCCGTACATTCCGAGAGTGGAGTAAGTTTACGTCCGAAATCCTTAGTCCTCGAGGGATAAGGGTACCTGTCTCAAAACTTTTTAAAGTGTGGGGGCTGCCAAGCTTTTCAGGGGAACGAATCCTAAAAATGTTCAAAATTGTACACAAATTCATGCTAAATAATATGGAAATTATGAGATCCAACCGAATTTTTCTCCATGAAGCAAACCCAATGATCATTCGGAAAGCTATATTTCATCCTTTTAAACGGACCTAAAGCGCTCTCCTATATAAAAGATCGCATAAGGGTGGAAATATATGCGTATAAAATACATTTTGCCTGAAATTCCGACCGTTCGGTTGATATGTCAATAACAGGAACGCCGTTTTAAAAATGAATTCTTACGAGTTATTTGGACGACATGTTCGACTGTCGCCGAATGTCTGTTCAGACGTGGAGGAAATCGAGACAAGATATATGGAACAGGTATGCTCTTTAAAGTCAAGGAATTTCTTTCGATACTTTACTAGAGTTGCGGTATCCGCTACGTGCGAAATGGGTGGTGGATAACCTCAAACCTATCATGTGCCCAATTGGTATATTTCATACAATTTCACACTGGATTTGTATTTTCATGTAAACACGCTCAAATTCTCGAAATGGGTAACAATAAATGGTACGTTTTAAACTGTAAAAATAATGGAAAGACCAGTAGTGCAAATTTTATACGTCATCTACAGCAACTCGGATATTAGAGCAAAGAAATAAATAGATAGTTGCTGTAAAGAGGAAAAAGTAAACAACACATCCTACCATGATATTGGTGCGAGCATCTTCTAGTTTTACAATAGGTATTGTAGACAAAAATTACATCATTTATCTGGAACTGAAAATAAGCATTATAATAATTAATATAGGGTGCCGTGTAGATAACTCAGTTTGCAGCTTTTTCCCTTCCTCCTGTAACGGTTTCACCGTCCGATCGTATTTATTAAATCACTTCTCGATTATCATTTCATTAATCCCATCTCTAGCTTTTTTGCTTGGAAAATTTTCCGCTTGGAGCGCTTGATGCGGAGTTCCTGATCTGCGATCTTCCTCGCGCTTCCTTTTCACTTGAGCCGCCGATCGAACAACGGCTAGAAATTTCTTCTCAGTAGCACCAGGTTATATAGCACCATGTGCTAGATTTCTAGAATGTGTGTCCGTATAGGACAAAAATGATTGGGGCCACCCCCTTTCTCTTTCCCTTTCACTTTGCCTAGCCTTGGCCAATATTTTCACCCATGCATGTATACGTACCTTGGCAGCGCCATCGCCTTTAACTTCGCCTACAACTGGTTACGAAGCCACTATATGTGAGGTCACCCCTCACAACTGGGACCTCCCCTTCAAGCCCCTGGCCATCCTGGCTTCAGTCGAGTAAAAATGGACCAGCGAAAGATAAGTCGATAGCGTTATGGCAGCGCCAAAGATGTAAAACTTATTTTGTTATTTTTGTAAAATTGTAATGTAATGAAAATGCCTTTTTTTTTGTTAAATAAAATCTGTTAAATTTTTGTGTTCTGTTTGTTCTTCTATCCTCTAGCCATGCCATGGTCGACACACAGCTACACGCCTGTAGATGTCTTCATGCCACCGAC